CAAAGCATGGAGTGCTGGCTTCATTCTAGTGGCTGTTTTTGGAAGAATGCTGCTTCTAGAAGAGGGGAAAAAAATTTTGTTTGGGACAGAGATTCAAAGCCAGATCCAAAATTTCCAGGTGCTTGGAGACAACTGAATCGAGGCCCATTTCCAAGCTGATTTTATTTACTTTGCATATACACACCAAGACACACAGAGTCCTGAAATCACTTTTACTGACATACCACAGGCTGCAGTTCCTGCTGCTCCTCACGGCTACAACACAAACAGCCAAACCCAGAAATGAGGAGCAAGATGCCCTGAGGTTGGTTCCCCTAACTCAGAATTCTGGTGCTGCTTTTAGGCTTGTTTTTAGGGACAAAAACAAACAGGGACTTTGCTGCCACATAGCTGGGCCTGCCAGCACAGCCCCTCTGTGTGCAGCTGCAAAGATCCTCATCAAACATGCCCAGATCCACTCCCCAGGTAACAAACCAGGAGAATGAGTGGATTCAGATGCTGCAGCTGCACTGATATTGCGTTCCTGCCAGCAAAACTCAAGCACTGCCTGAGGCTGCAGTGGTACCTGCCAGCCAGGAAGCCAAAGGGAAGCGGGAGCACAGTCTCAGCTGTCAGACATGGCCCCTCCACGGCTGGCAGAACTCCCTGCCCATGGGCACTGTGCTCCCAGGGCTGCTTGGCTGCTCCAGGTTTACTCAGGGACACTGAAGAGGGGCAGGCATCACTCTGCTGGTGGCACTTTTCAGTCAAGAGGATCAAGGTGGCTGCCAAGGGTCTTTGTGCCAGTTCTGTTGGCACAGAGATCAAAGAAAACCAAAGAGAAAATCAGAACAAAGCACCAGGCAGGAGCTCTCTGAAGCTCCAGACCTCCTTGAGTTACAAGTGCCTGTGACACTCAGCCTGACACCAGCAGAGCCCAACACCAAGGTGACAGCATGAACTTGCAAGAACCAGTTCTCAAAGGCATGATGGCCACCTGCAGCCAGTCTCTAAGCATCTCTGCCTCTCCACCTACAGCTCACAGAGGCTGGAATGTCACCTCCTCAAATCTTCCAGTTTGGCCAAGGGATGAGGGGACATGGAGGAGCACAGGAATGACCCAAAGCACACAGCAAGCCAAGCAGTGCTGAGCTCGTGGGTAAGGCAGGGATGATTTGCATTTATTTTAACTCCTGCTCAGTGGAACATGACACCAGCAAAGCTGCCTGAGTAGTTCCACATGCTCCTTTCAGGGACAGGCACTTCCGAGCCTGGCACAGACTCTGTGCCCAGCCCTGCTCAGGTTCCAGGGCACAGACAGCCAGGGTGTGCTGAGACACCTTCCCCCCACTCAGTGCTTTGTGGCCATGGCTTGCTGTTGTGCTGCAAGAGAAGGAGCCAGGAAAAGCTGACAGACCAGGATCTGCCCCTTGAATCCTCCCAGGTCCATCATTGGGGTGCTGGGACTCCCCTTTGGAAAGCAGAGGTGGTGGCTGTCACCCTGGCCCCAGCACTGTGCCCAGCTCTGCAGGACACTGATCTGAGGCCACTGTGGGGACAATTGAGGGCAGGGTGTGGGGTCCCAGCAGCCTCAGCACTGTGCCCAGCTCTGCAGGGCATTGGCAGACCCAGACCTGTGGCCACTGTGGGGACAACTGAGGGCAGGGTGCGGGGTCCCAGCAGGGTGTGGGGTCACAGCATGCGCGGTTCGTGTGTTTGCTGCTTATTTTTAACACCTCATTGGCTCACAAGGCTCTAAAAAGCACCCAGATTCTCCAAATGCTTCCACAGGAGGCCAGAACAGCCCCACCTCCTCCCCTGTGCCAGCAGGTTGCTGTTGCAGCTCCCAGGGGAAGGAAGAGGAGCTGATCCCTGCAGGGCAGGAGGGAAGTGGAGCCGGACAGAGGCGGGAGGGGACAGAGGGTTTGGGGTTTGTTTACAGGCACGGCCCCAGCACGCTGAGAGGCTGCTGGAAGCAATCCTCGGCCCCAGGGTCATTCCCACTCCCAGCCCCTCCATCCTCCTCTCCTTTCAGCTCCAAAAAAGGCTCACTCCCTGTTACATAATGGGATGGGCTCAGTGCAGACCCGGCTCGCACACGCGGCCGCCCTTTCCTCAACAATCCCTTATTCGGTCATGGAGCCTTCCTGTCCCACTGCCACCGGCCTGACAGGCAGGGAGACTGATGGGCCTGGCTGCAGCCAGCCCTGCTGGGGAGAAAGGGAAGGAGCAGAGTGCTGGGATGGTCCTTGCACATTACAGGGAATGGAGCAACGCTGGGATGGTCCTTGCACAGAAAGGAGAGAAGCTCCTTGCACAGAACAGGGAAGGAGCAGTGTGCTGGGATGGTCCTTGCACAGAAAGGAGAAAGGAGCAGTGCTGGGATGTTCCTTGCACAGAACAGGAAGGGAGCAGTGTGCTGGGATGGAGCAGAGTGCTGGGATGCTCCTTGCACATTACAGGGAAGGAACAGCATGGTGGGATGCCCCTTGCACAGAACAGGGAAGGAGCAGTGCTGGGATGCCCCTTGCACAGACCAGGGAATGGAGCAGTGCTGGGATGCTCCTTGCACAGAACAGGGAAGGAGCAGAATGGTTGGATGCTCCTTGCACAGAACAGGGAAGGAGCAGTGCTGGGATGCCCCTTGCACAGAACAGGGAAGGAGCAGTGCTGGGATGCCCCTTGCACAGAACAGGGAAGGAGCAGCATGGTCGGATGCTCCTTGCACAGAACAGGGAATGGAGCAGGTCAGGAGGCCCCACCATCAGTAACAGTGTGCTCACAGCATTCATCTGTGAGCACAATGAATCAATCATCTGAATCATCTTGAGCACTGCCAGCCCAAGGCAGAAAGTCCTCCAAGAAGTGGGGACTGGCTCCTGGGAGAAGCTGGATCTTGTTCTTGGGGTGAGTTTTGTTGGTTTATGGTCATTTCTGTCACTCTGCACCCAGTGTCTCATGCCAGAGCAGAATCCTCATCTAGCAGCAGCAAGAGGGCAGCAGGAGCAGCACCTACCTTCCAAATACAAGCTGGCAGAGGAGTGTCCAGCAGCAGCCCCTCCAAACACTGCCAGGACACCTCCTTTTCATCCCCTACCACCTCAGCCAGCCACTGGCAGGAACTGGAAGGTCTAATCTCCTGAAGGGATGATGCCCACTCATACTTTGTGACCAGCAAAGAAGACACAACCCAAATCCATCTGCTGTCCTCTGTTTATCTGTTCTCAGAGGCAGGAGCATCAATTCCTTGAAGAGCAGATGCTCCCAGAAGAGTTTCTGGTACTCTCTCCACCTGTAAAGGGTCCCCAGACACAGTGCCAGCCAGAATGGCAGTGCCAGGTCTGGCTGAGCAGTGATCAAGTTGTAAATATTTAAATGGAAGAGAAATATAACCAAATTGACACTGTGTCCCTGGACAGGCAGGTCTGAGCTGGAGACCTTCTGGTTTGCTCAGGACAGCAGTGACCACCTGGGCCAGGAATGAGTCCAAGCCTCAGGGCCAGGGTGAATGGCAAACTGCAGGAAGGCTCCCCATTCCCAGATCTCCACTGTGGAGGTAACTACAGGCAGCAGAATTGGGAGGAAAATGTTCCCTGCAGCAATCCAGGTGCAACACCATCCTCCTGGTGACAGGTCAGCTCTTTCCCCTGTCCCTTGGGATTCCTGATTGTCCCAGAACAAGAGCAGAGCCAGCCATGTGGATTTCGGCACGGACACAGGGTTTGTTCAAGAGGTTGTTGTTGCACCTTGAACTGATGGGGACACCAAGAAGTCCCAGGGCTTCCCCTTATCACCCCCAGCCAGAGCTCTGCCTGAAGCACATGTGGGTTCACTCTGACCTGTTCAAGTGGAGCAGCTACAAACTCCTCACTCCTTCCTCCTCACTCTTTCAAGCACACAACCCAGGGAGCTCCTCCACCACCCAGCTCCAGGATGTGCTGTGTGTATCCCAACTTCTCTAGTGGAAAATGCCAATGCCACGTGTGGGTGCTGCAGGCTCCCTGGGTGACCAGGACACAGCTTATTAGGAGGTGATGATGTGCCTGTAGAAGCTCTCATACCTCTGTGCTTACACACACAGATTGGGTTGCAGCTTGGTCCCAAGAGGCCAGAGCCCATTCTGGAGAAGTGGGAGCAGCCCCCACCTCCTGCCACTGAAGGAACAGACCAGGACTGAAGGCAGCAGTCCCTGACCTCAAAGCACTTTGGCAATCTCTGCTGAGGGCAGCTCAGGTTACCAGCTCTGTTATAATGAGCTGCCCTGCACATTCTGATGCTGGCTCTGGATGCCTGCAGGAAAAGAAAGGGCACAGCAGTGGGAAAAGCACTGCTCTAAGACTCTCCCAAGCCCTTCAGGGAAGGCTTTCCTTGTGCTGTAAAAAAACCACATCCTCAGCTAGTGATAGTCACCAACCTACACCAAAAAACAGGAATTCTCTGTTTGTGTGTCTTGGCCTGAAGCCTTACCACCCAGAGGCCCTGGCCCCAGGAAGGCTTGGCAAGTGCACCCCAGCTGGAAAGGAAGCCTGTCCCTGCTCCATGTGTGGGTCCCTGCCCCAGGCACAGGCAGAGCAGAGGGATGCAGCAGTGAGAACAGGACCACACTCTGAGCTGTCACTGACAGTCACTGCTCCCTGGGCCTGTTTATTCCACTTCTGCAGAAGGAACAAGCTGAAGCCCACGGCAGCACAGAACAGGAGGCCAATCCTCCCCAGAGAGCCCCAGAGCTGGGCACTGCTGCCCTTGCATGAGCCAAGACTCCCACTCCCAGGGCTGGATCTTCCCTTTCCCTGATTTCAAGGGACAGGAGGCTGCCCATTAGAGCTGCTCATGAAGAAAACAGCTCCTGGTGCAGATCTCTAAGGTGTTTACTCCACATTCATGGAGCACCTGCTTTACAGAACTTTGGTGTTTGGTGCACACACAGCATTTATCTGCAGTCAGGCACAAGCTCCATTCCAGCTGTGACTCCAAAGGGAATGCCTCTCACAGAGCAGCCAGGCTGCTCACTCTGGCCTTACCTTTGAACAAGGGTCCCAAAGAGCACGTTGAAAACCTTCTGGATGTTCTCTGTGCACAGCCAGCCCCAGTGATCCACCAGCACCAGACGGAGCACGTCCAGGGCCAGGTCAGCCAAAGCTGTCTCGGAGTCTGCTGGGAGGAAGAGGAGGGGCAGATGAAGAAACCACCTCAGGGCAAATCTGGTGACAAGCATCATCCCAAACTCATTCATTTCTCCCCAGCCTGGCCCTTTGTCCACTCACAATGACCTGCTGCAGCCCAGCCAGCCTGGGACCTGCCCTCCTCACTCTGGTTTCCACCTCATCCGGGCAGCCCCAGTCTCCCACCAAGGGCTGCACCAAAGGCTCAGTTCCTTCTCAATTAAACAGTGGGATTATCAAATCCCAGTCCATGTGCCCCAAACAGGTGACAGAGCAGGTGGTGGCTGTAGCCAGGATAAGGTGCATTGCTGAGGACTCTCATCCTGTTTTTGCCCATTTCTTTCCCTTCTCCCAGCAGTTTTCCAGGCACCAGGCTCTGTTGGTGGCTGTGGGCTGCCATCGTGTGGCAGATCCCAGGCTTGGCAGGAAGGGGGATGAAACACATCTGGATAAACCAGATTTACCAGTTAAAACATAAACCCACACCTACCCGAATATCTCTGCTGTCACAGACCTGGGACACCAAACCCCCCTCTGATCCTCAGGGGGATGTCAGAGCCTTCAGCAAAAACAGTTTCTACTCACTAAGGAATTACTTTCATGCTGTTTGGCCCTGAGGTGTTGTGCTGAACAAGCTCATTGATGCGCCACAAAACTGCCCCAGACAGCCACTCCCAGGCCACCACCCCGGCCTGAGGCTGCTGCCTCGGCTCTGCTGTCCAGGTGAGATCCTGTGCAGCAGCTTTTCCTAATCTGGCTCCCCTCAGCCTCATCTTCCAACCTCTCTGTCTACAGAGACAATTTACACTTAAAATTTACTATGGGAAATAAAGGGAAGAGGGATTGTGGACCCCACTCCTCTGCTCTTCCTCTTCCTAAAAGCTGGACTAATTAATTCCAGGATTTCACTTGGAAAATACAGGGCACTTGGCACCTCTTGCTCTGGGCCATGCATAAGTTACTGCCCACTTGCTTTGCCCCCTGAGACTTCCCAGTGCAGTCTGGAGCTCACACAGGGAGCATCCTCACAAGCTGTTTATTCCCACAGCATCCAAATCCTCTTCCTCAGAGAGCTGCTGGCCAACCACTTCCCAGAAGTCACTCCATGAGCAGATATGGACATGGCTTTGCCTTTTTATCCAGACATTTGTTTTCCTCACCCTGCCAGCCCAGCCTGAAGCATCCCAGATCTGTGAGCATTTGAGATCACTGACATTCCATTTCCCTCAGAGTTCAGCTAACTTGGCCTGCTCTGTGCACAACCCTGGCCTCCAACTCCAGTCCTGCTTCCCCAGAACCAGGGACATGTGTTCCAAGATGACAGGCAAAGCTGGTAGCACAGGCTGGGTTTCAGAACACCAGGCCTATCCTATCACAAACACGTGCTTTCAGTCAGAGCTTGCCAAACTTGAAACACTGGAGACAAGTTTTTTGGGAAGTTCCAGTTGATACAGCTCAGCTATTCCAAGAAAAAAGATTGGGGAACATATTTTTGCATGTGTTTAGGATAATCTTGTAACTGTTGTGGGGCAGCCCTGTGCTTCAGAGGAGGCTTCTAGAAGCAGAAAGAGAACATCATTCCTTGAACTGAGATTACATTTTGTGCCACTCCCATCAAATCTATCTGAACTTAATCTCAGAGGTCCTTTTATAGTATAGACATATCAAGGCTAACCGGAGACTACCAAGAAACTGTGATTTGGCCCATTTTTAGTTTGTAAGAGCTTGATTTTAGAACATTGCCAGTTTAAGCAGCATGTCCTTAAGAAACCTCTTTGTGCAGTGACTGCTGAGCACACCAAGGTGAAGATGGGCAGTGACACAACTGAGCCAAAACCCAACTTGCTCCCAGCAGCCACAATGCCCAGAGCAATCACCAAACAGCACTGGAAAACCTAATTTGCTTTTCCCTTCAGGAGAGCAGGTCCTGAAGACTTTTCAAGCTGAACCTGCAGATGTTGGAGCTGCTGTGGTACCGAGGGGGAGAAATTCAAACACTGAGAGAGGCTGAGCTCACCAGAGTCAGTGTCTGGCTGTCCTTCCTGCTCTGCTCTGCTCAGCCCATCCATTTCTTCCTGCACAGAGATCTCCTTGGCTTCTCTGCCTCCCTGGCCTTCAGGAGCTTTGCTGGGGACTGCTTCCAGCAGCTTCTCCTGCTTCTGGATGAAGGATTCCATAGCAGCCAGAGACAGGGTGCCAGAGACCTGCAAAAGTGTGTTAGTGCCACAGAGCCTGGGGTCTGCAGGGCCCAGACAGCCTCCCACCTCCTGGTTTGCACCCAGGTGTAGCCAACAGCACAGCCAGGAGTGCTCACTGTCCTTCTGCCAAGAGCTGGCATGTGGCAACAAGGCTGCAGCAGCCACAGCCCTGGTGGATGGTGATTATTCCCAAACAGGGCAGTGGTTGGGGTTGTGAAAGGATTACAAGAGGATCTGAACTTACAGCATTGCCCTCCCTGATGGAGTACACGATCCTGTCATGAGCTTCACTCACACTCAGCACTGGAGTGATTTTACTGGATGAGAACCTCAGCCTGGACCTGGAAAGCAGAGCCATGGCACAGTCAGTTTTCCCTGCAAGTTGTGAGTCATGAGTTTTCCAGCCTCAGCCAAGCCCCATGACCTGTTCCTGCTGTCCACATGCAAGCTAAGATATCTGATTAGACCTGAAGTGGTTCATAAAAAGCATCTGCCTCCAGGATAACTCAGAGCTGGTAGTGAAACCAACAACAAAAGCTGTAAAGCAGTTTTCCTCACATACACCTGAGCTGAGCCAAGGTTTTCCAGCATTCCACAAGGAGCTGTTACACAGAAGCTGATAAGGAGATGTAGGCAGATGTCAGCAAGGTGTGAGCACTGCAACACACACAGGGAAGTGTTCAGAAAAGCCTCTGAGATGAAATAGACTCAGCAGGATTGTGAAATCTAATTATAAACATTGACAAAAAGAAAGATACGAAAGGACATTGGGATTTTTGGGACAAATTGTAAAATAGCCTGTTTATCATTAAGGAATGTCCTTTTCAGCCAAAATGGTTCCAAACTTGTACTTTTTGAGTTTGTCTTTCTGTCCAAAGCAGCTTTTTCCAGCAAAACATCACTTTTTGGAAAGAAAAAGCCATACTTGTGCAGAAACCTTCCCTTCCTTGGTGAGGGAAGAACCACTAATGAGACAATCACAATGAGACTGGGCACTGTCAGCAGCACCAACATTTGGTGAGGAACATACATGAAACAATTTTAAATATTGCTTATAAATAGCTATTTAAATGTTTTCTGGGCAAAGCCACTGTTGGAACACACGGGAGAGGCAGGAGGGGACTTTCAGGTAGATAATTTACAGCTGTATTTTGCAATCACTCCCTGCATATATTTAAGGTTAAAAAGCAATTCCTCAGGACCATTAGAGTCTCTGCTGGCAAATGGCAGCACCTCAGAGCTCCTTTAGGAAGAAACCTACCTTGTGTGGAAACCTGAGCATTGCTGGGAAACCCTTTAGATAAACTGCAGCTCAAATAGTTGTGTTCAGCAAGGGAAGGAGGAAGTAATTCAGCTTCAGAACAGAACTTACTACCCAACACAGAATTTACTAACCAACACATAAAGCCCCAAGTCAGTTCTTCCCCACCATGGGCTCAGTTTGTGCATTAATCCCTTGTCCTGCAAAGCTGAGGGAGCCCTTACTTGCTTTTCTTCCCGTCTGTCTGGGATTTCCCATCCACTTCTGACTCACTCAGATCCTCCGTGGGGCTCTGGGGCTCTGACCTGGGGAACGCCGTCTTCAAGGTGTCCACGATGGCATTGACAACAATCTGCAAAGCCAGCCTTTAATTACTGCCTTTAATTACTGCATTGATCCTTGGTACTTACACTCATCAGGAGTTTTGAGACTTGCACTGGATTTTCTATTAAATAGAAAGAACTGGATTTTCTATTAAATAGACAGAACCTATTAAATAGGTTCTTTAACACAAACTCTGACCCTTTATGCGTTTCTGGGCAAGCTGAGCCCAGCTCCAAAGAAAGGGTTTTGGCTCCTAGGAAACATTGAAGCCTAGGGAGCATCCCTGAGAGCAGCTGGAAAGGACTCAGGTAAGCAGCTTCCCATTTTTCCCACTTTGTCTATCCTGAAGACAAGGATATTATTACTGCCTTTAATTACTGCATTGACCCCTGTTACTTACATACATCAGGATTTTTGAGATTTGCACTGGATTTTCTATTAAATAGGTTCTTTAACACAAACTCTGACATTTTATGGGTTTCTGGGCAAGCTAAGCCCAGCTCCAAAGAAAGAGTTTTGGCTCCTAGGAGACACTGAAGTCTACGGAGCATCCCTGGGGGCAACTGGAAAGGGCTCAGGTAAGCAGCTCCCCATTTTTCCCACCTTGTCTATCCTGGACACAACGAAGGGCTTCTTGACAAAGGCGATCCTGGCATCGGTGTTGAGGGCCAGGAATTCCTGCACCTCCTCACTGTTTGCAATCTCAGGGACTGCACACAATTGCTGCAAGGACAGATGGAGATTCAGATCATTTCCAAGTCAAGTTCCCAGCCTGATTGTGTAATGTGGAAGAGACAGGGTCTGCTCCACTGTCTGCACAAAGCTGTCCTCCGCTCTGCTTGTAGCTCACAGGAGCACACAAACATCTCACCTTCAGGAAAGATTCCAGCAGACTTTTCCTGGCTTCCACTTTATCGCTGTCCATGTTTCCAAATGGCAGATCAGGGAACAGTTTCTTTGGTCCTTTGATGTCTACAAAGGAAACAAACCCACAGGCAAGCTTGAGACAACTGCAAAATCACAGTAACTTTAATTTAAAAGACTTTTAGTTCTTAAAATAAAAAAAAATTAAAAATTTAAAATTAAAATTTTAAAATCTAAATACAGATTTTAGCCTTTATTAAAACCTGAACGCTCTAATGATTAAGGCCATCCCCACACACTGCCTGGCATCAGCCCAAGGCAATACACAGACACCAGTGTTTATATGCATTGTTATGGTGCAAAACTGTAAAGCCAACTGTTGTGGAATGGGAAGAGGAATGGTTTAAAATTCCAGAAGAGATAAATCATTCCTCCAGCCAGCTCTGCACAGAGCACTGGAGGATGTGGGCAGGAAACACAGCCCAGCATCCAGAGCTGCATGAGCAGGGCAGGAAGCCCCGGGTGCAGAGGAACAAGGAGAGAGGGAGAAGGATTTTCTCGGAGGGTTGCTGCAGGCACTGACTTTTCAGGAACTTGCGGAGCTCCGGTTTCTCCTCCAGCCGCGTCTGCAGGTTGAGGAACTCGCGGTAGCGGCGGTTCACGGTGTGGTAAGCCACCTGCTGCAGGCTGCCCGCCGCCTCGCCTTCCAGGGCTGTCTCATACTGAGGAGGAAGGCAAAGGCATCATCCTCACACATCCTACAACGGCCCTGCTTCCTTCTCAGTCCCCACCCAGCAATTCCTCAGTCAACCCTTCCCTGAAGAGGAAGGAAGCAATCATGATGGAACAAAAGCAGGAAAAGAAAAGATTCAACCAGCCCCACAGAAATCCCAAACAGCCACAGTGCCTGATATTTCCCACCACCAGACTGTCCTGGTTTGAAAAGGAAGTGAGTTTTTTGGGAATTTGTGGTGAAACCAATCAGTGCTGAAATTTGAATGTTGGCCCCTGGTGTGGCCACTGAGGACACGGATACACCTCTGAGAACACAGGGAGTTAAAAGTCACATCTTTCTGGTCACATCTCACAGCAGAAACTAGGGAGAATATATTTTCATGGGGGCACTGGCACTGACAAAATTTATTGTTCAGACCCACACAGAGCAAGTCCTCAGGCAGTGGCAGGGATGTGGGAAGGGGTTGAGTACCTGGAGAGCCCTTACCTTGACGGTGTACAGGGTGTAGGGGTGGAAGCCAGTCCCGCTGTGCTCCCGGGCAGTGATGGTCCCGGTGATCCGCAGGTTCTGGATGACCACCGGCCCCTCGGGGCTGCTCAGGGGCTCGAAGCTGAAGGTGCTCATGGAAGCTGTTGGGGAGGATGACAGCAGGGGCAGGCTCTGCCCAGGCTCTGGGGGAAATGGTGCTGGGCCCTCTGCTGTGCCCAGATCTTTCCCCAGGCTGGAAGGTCTTTGTGAGGAGAACCTCCTGGGGACAGCTGGGCTTTCCTCCTCCTTCTCAGCCGCTGGCTCGATCTGGATGTCAGGGCAGGAGCTCAAAGCAGAGGTGGGAAGCAGGCCAGCATCCGAGCTGGGGCCAGGGCCGTGGTCCAGGTCCCCTGTGCCATCCTCCGAGGCAGGTGCTCCCTCTGGCACAGGAGGGTCCTGGGGGGGCTCATCAAGGAGCTCTCCAGCGGGGGAAGGAGCCAGCAGCTCCACATCCTGCCCCACGTCAGGCGCGGGGGATTCCAGCTCCAAACCGTCACAGGGGAAGAGGGATCCCAGAGCTTGGGGGCGCAGGAAGGGTTCCTCTGCATGGCATGACCTGCTCGCCTCCTCTCCCTCCTCTCCAGCAGCCCCTGCCTCTCTCCTGAGCCCCTCGGCAGCCCTCGGGGACGGGGAGAGCCCGGCGGGAGCAGCGTCCGTCTGTGCCGGGAAAGGCAAGGAATCCGGCACTGGGGGTGCAGGGTGGGGCTTCCCACCCCGGGGCTTCTTGGAAAACACCCCAATGAGCAGGAGGTTGATCCAGTCGGGATCGGACATCTTCCTGATGGCCGGCAGCAGCACGTTGCAGGCCACCAGCTCCACCACCACGAAACGTCCCGTCCGTGTCTCCAGGTGCGGCCAGGGCACCAGCGCCCGCAGCAGCGCGTCCACGGCGGCGCGGGCACAGCCCACCTCGGCCGCGGGGCTCAGCAGCGCGGGGTGCGGCCCTGCCAGCCGGCTGTACTCCTTCCACAGCGTCCGGCCGCCCTTGGGGTCGGCCCTCAGGGCATCCCGAGCCTGCAGGAAACTCTGCAGGTGCTGCCCGCAGAGCAGGAGCAGGCGGCGGGCCAGCGCTCGCCTATCCACCCGCCTCATCCGCCGCCGCAGCTCCGCGGCCAGCCCCAGCATGGCTCTCTCCACCTCGGCCTCGAAGGCCGGCTCTCTGCTCACCGTGCGGTACCACGAGGCCACGAAGTCCCGCACCACCTTGCGGACGGTGCTGGCGATCTCCTTCTCCAGGCGGGCCTCGTCCGCAGGGCTGCCGGCCGGGGTCCGCAGGGAGCTGACGAAGCGCTCCAGGCGCAGGCGGCGGCCGCGGGGAAGCAGGGCCGGGGGGCCCAGCCAGCCGCCCAGCACGGCCAGCGCCCCGCACAGCAGCCCCAGCGCCCGCAGGTCCAGCAGCAGCTGCAGCGCCAGCAGCCAGCCCAGGGCCACCAGCAGGGCCAGCAGCGGCCGGCGGGACCCCGAGGGACCGCGGGCAGGCATGGCGGGGCGGGCAGCGGCTGTCACAGCCGGGAGGGTGGGCAAGGGTGCACGGCTCGAACCTCACCGGGCTCGGCAGGGCCCGGCCTGGGCTGCTCGAGCAGGGATCGGGGGCTCAACCACCCCGAAACCTCAGCGGGCACTGGCGCTCAGAGCCCAGCGGGTCCGGAGCCCTGCCTGGGCTGGGTCAGAAGGCCCAGACCGGGATCCTCAGCGGACAGCGGGGCTCGCAGAGTCCCGCACACCGGGAACCCTGAGTGGGTTCTGCGGCGCTGCCTCCCGGGCCCCCACACCGGGCTCCGCATCAAGCACTGAGACAGAGCAGAGTCCCCCAGGCCAGGCCCTCGCCGAGCGCTGGGGCTGGGCACAGCCGAGCCCTTACCAGGCACCGGGGAGAGGCACGGATTCCGCCAAGCCCAGTCCCTCTGGGGCTGACAGAGCCCAGCAAACCGGGACCCGTGATCGGCTATCCACAGCGGCGCGACTGAACGGACCCTTCACCGCGCACGGGGACGGGTCCCTCACCGCGTACCTCAAGCCCCACCGCCCAGACCCCTTCCCGAGCAGGGCACCCAGCCCGCAGGTGCCGGGAGCGCGGGGCCGAACGCGGCACACCGGGAGCCTCGGGCCGCACTCACCGCCCGGGCCCTCCGCCGGCACCGCCACCGCTTCCGCCCGCGCTTCCGCTTCCCTGCGGCCTCCACACAGCGCCCCCCAGCGGGCCGGAGGTCTCACCTCAGTGTCCCATTTCAAGCTATAAAACGAAATAATACTACTAATACTAATACTAATACTAATACTAATACTAATACTAATACTAATACTAATACTAATACTAATACTAATACTAATACTAATACTAATAATATCCTCTGTTGGACAGATGGGAAAGGGGAAGGACGAGTTGTCCTTGCACTTTCCAGGTTTATGTGCCCCACCTTGAGGATTCCTGGTGTCCCTTGATTTGAACACGGATAATCACTGCACCCAAGCTTGTCAGCTGCCCCATGGCTCGGGATCCTTGGTCCACAGAGGGAACACACTACATCAAATCCTAAATCCTATGTTCCTCAAACCCTCCATGTGGGGATCACACTTCTTCTTATTCCATATCCCATGTCCCTTAAACCTTCCATAGAGGGACCACACTTTATCAAATCCTCTATCCCATGTCCCTGAAACCTTCCATGTGGGGATCACACTTCTTATCCCATATCCCATGTCCCTTAAACCTTCCACACAAGGATCATACTTCATCAAATCCTATATCCCATGTTCCTTCATGTGGGGATCCCACTCCACCATATCCTTTATCCCATGTCCTTTAAACCTTCCACAGAGGCATCCCAATCCATCAAATCCTATATCCCATGTCCCTCAAACCCTCCCCACAGTCTGTGCCCTTCTGGGATGCAGCACCAGCTTGTGTTGATTAACGTACTCCAGACTCATAAATCGAAGGAAGTGGATTTGGGGAAGAACTTTCCTGCCTCCAGTAAAACTTGCCTTTAAATTATTTAATGAGCTGCTTAAGTGACTCAGCCATTTTGCATGGAATTTGTCAAGGCTCCACTGGCACAACCCAGAGCAATGTGACAGCCATACTTTTATTATGAGCAGCGTATTAATCTTGGAATAGTGCTATTTGTTTTCCTCTCTTGCTTTTATGGTGCTTAAAAGCATGTATCTTCTGCTGAAAATCAATAACTAAAGCTATGAATAATAAAAAACACTGCAGTGAATGGCTTGTAGAGATCCTACGGATGGAAGTTGCAGCAGTAATGACTCTGTTTGCTATCCATTAAGTATGTGAACTCAGAAGAATTATGCAGATTATAATAGCTGTATCAACATAAGTATGTTTTGCTGATAGACTTTGCTGATTGGATCCACGGGATATAAGCCTGCTAATCCCTTGTGCAGAGGACCTGATTATGTTAGAGTGCTCTGCAGATTTGCAGATAGAAAGTTAAGGAACAATTAAAAAAAGAAAAAAATGTTGGTTGTTGTGTGGGGCTTCTCAAAAACACTTTGTTTGGGTTTATTTGTCAGGCAAATGTGGATTTTTCCACGGCTTTGGTGGAAGCCAAGAGCCCAGCTCTGAGCTCAGGTGTAAATGTAGATGTTTTATGTGCGATAACTGTGAGTTGCTGTGTACTGAGCATTAAATGTCCCAGCAGTGTTGCACAGAGAGGCTTGAGCAGATTTGGGGCTGGGAGGGGACCTCAAGAGCCCACGTGGTGGTGCTCAGCCAGGTGAGCAAGCCCTGGCTGCACGTGGATGTTGGATGCTGCATGGACCCCTCCTCCCTTCAGCTTTTCAGTGATGTGGCTGAAGCTCATAATGGAACTGCAACGAGGAAAGAAAAAAAAACCCAACAAAAATCCCACCCTGTAATTAAAATAATCAGCTTGCTGCGCACTTGGCACAAGGTTAAACGTCACTGCAGCTCCGTGGGTGAAATTCTGCATGGAGGATCTGCCTATTAATATCACCTTGTTAATGCAGTGTGTCACCTCAGGAGGTGACAGTGCCTTCTCAGGAGGTGACCGTGCGCTCTCGTAAATGACAACAAAACCTGTTTCCTTCTTCTTTTCACAGTGCTCCAGCTCTCTTAGAGCTGGGCAAGCTGAGGCTGTGCCCCAGGGAAGTGATGGATCCTCCTTGCCTGGCTGGGCTTTCGCTGGGGAGGTGCCTCAGTGTCTTGGTTTGGAAAGCTAAGGAAGGCAGGAGCCTCCCCTGAAATGGAAAATGCAACCCCCTCCTTCTGAATTACTAAAAATTTGAAATTAAGGGGGGTTCTCAGGCAGAAAATATGGGAGCAGGAATAATAGTTCACTGACAATCAATTATCAGCAGATGTCTCCCCCAAGGGGGGATTGGGTGTGGAAGAGATAAGGAAAACTGCCCACTGAACAGCAGACCACTGCCATACAGATGGCAAATAGAACACAATTTATACAATTTGCTTGACAAATCAGGACACTCAAGTGCTGTGTCCAGGTGTGGTCCCTCACTGTTAGGGAAGAAATTAAAAGATAAAATAAACAATGCAGTAACTAAACCAACACTGACAGAGAACCCAACCTGACACCCTGTGGGTCAGGGTGTTGGCAGCAGTCCCATTGGAATTGTGGCTCAGCCCTCCTGCAGTGTCAGGGGTGGCTCTGCTGGAGCAGGGATCCTGGAGAAAGGTGCAGTCTCTTCCTCTGAAGATCCAGTGGAAGAGGCAGCTGCTGTTCCTCTGGGGAATCCAGTGGAGAAGCCGTGCTGGTGTTCCAGAATCTCCAGATTATATCCAGGTAGCAATGCTTGGCTCCTCCCTCTGGGTTCACATCTCCCAGTGGGATGCAGTGGGATCCATGCAGTGACATTCAATAGCTGTTATCAGCAGATGTCCTCCTGGAGGGAGGAGTGGGTGTGGAAGAGATAAGGCAAACTGCCCACTGAACAGAAGACAGCTGCCATGCAGATGGCAAATATAACACAATGTGCTTCGCAATCCAGGACTCTCAAGTGCTGTGTGCAGGTGTGGCCCCTCACTGAAGAGAGACACTGAGGGGTGGGAGTGTGTCCAGCGATGGGGAAGGGCTGGGAGAGTCAGTTCTGGGGGGCTCAGGCTGCAGAAAATGGGGCTCAGGGGGCACCTCCTCACTCTCTACAACTCCCTGAGCAGGGGCCAGCCAGGTGGGGGTCAGGCTCTGCTCCCAGGGAACAGGACAGCACAAGGGGAAGTTTACATTGGATGTTAGGTTGAATTTCTTCATGGAAAGGGTTGTTGGACATTGACAGGGGCTGCCCAGCGGGGTTTGGAGTCCCCATCCCTGGAGGTGTCCAAGGAAGGTCTGGAGGTGGCACTCAGAGCTCTGGGCTGGGGACCAGGGGGGGATTGAGAACAGCTTGGACTTGGATCTTGGAGAGCTTTTCCAACCTTGGGGATTCTGTGGAGATGCCTTGCTTTGCACAAGCAAAGATTTGGTGTGCAAATCCCCCATCCCTGCACTCCTTGACCCTTCCTTCCTTGGGGACTCTGATCCTGAACTCCTGGTGCCTGGCAGACACCTTGGCTCCCCTCTGCCTTTTGCATCAGTGTGGCAGCTGCAGGAATGAGTGGAAGGGATTCAGCAGAAAAAGATCTCCCAGTCAGCAGAGAGGAATACAAAATGGAAATATGCTTTTGGTTTTTTTTTGTTTTGAGTCATGAAAGCACCCCTTTCCACCAGAATATCTTTTCCAGCATCTCTGCTCCATGCTGAGGGAGAGGAGAGCAGCATCACAGCTTGTCAGACTTTTGGGGATTGCAGTGGGAACTTCTGCTCAGTGAACTGGATGAGTCTGTGACAGTGTTTGCTCCAAAATTCATTTGTTTTTTGAGAGAAATCAGCCCTGGGATGAGTGGCTTCAGCTGTCTTTCCCTGAGGGGGAGATTTGCAGGTGGCAGTGCTACCTGGAGTGGACCTTTTGTCCTTGGTCCCCTCTCAGCTTGAATTTTGCCTCATCTATGGCCAAAAAAAGGAAATTTGTAGCTTTATGGTGCTTCAGGATCCACAGGAAAATGATTTATAGCTTGACTTCCATCTGGGATGTGAATTCACTTAATTCTGGTGGGGGAACTCCAAGAAGGGAGCTGTGTCTATGTTACAACATCAGCCATAGGGTTGCCCTCATCTTTTCCATTCAGCAAGAGTGGAAGAGCAATGCTATGGATTGGGCTAGATGAGGAATTTATAATCAATACTGGTAATTTACTGGCTGGGGAACCCATTTTGCTTCATGCCACGGAGGTGTTGCCTCATGCAGCAGCCTGCCCTACCCCAACTAGCATCTCATTAGCAAATAAAATTGTTATTTTCGGGCTAATGCTGTGAGTTAATGTGATGTGAGCATCGCCAAACCCCAAACGTGCCACACGCAGAGCGGGGCGAGCTGCAGTGATGAATGTCATGCAAAACTCAGAGGCACTAATTGAAGGTGGTTTCAACAGAATATTCAATTAATGCTCTCTGCGTCGCAGACAGTCTGGAAAAGGAGCTGTTTTCTCCCGAGGATCTGTGTTACTGTGCAACAAACAGA